CTTGTCTGTTTTGATGCATCTAGCAAACATGCCACAACCGTGGGACAATTTTGCATTCAACCCTATGTCCTTGTGCTTTAACTTCCAAATTTTCATTCATCCACTCAACTGACATGTAAGTGCATCACTATGGCATGGCAGCCACTCCCATCTTCTTTGCTTAAATGAAATGGAGATTGTGACTACCTCTTTTCACTAGATCAGCTGTGGGGCTTTATCATCCCAGAAGAAGTGCTCGAGGCCCAGAATGCATGATGACCAGGAATCTTTGAATCATTGCCTGTATTCCTGGATCCCTCACCAAGGGAACAGACCATTGTTCACAGCTCCAGTGAAGTATTTGATTTGTAACTTGCAGTTTTCTGAAAGTGTGATAGGATACACTTCTCTCTCCCAACCCCTTGTTCATGTGATCATCAAATCCCATAATTTTTACCTGTTTCCTCACATCTGTATCTTTCCTGCTCCTCCTCATTTATTCAAGCCATCACCATCATCCATCTGAATTGCAGCCAGAATGGTCTAGTAAGCGCCCTTCTTCCTGCCTTGAAACTCTCCAGATATTGTCCATATGGTAGCCACAGTGATGTTTCTAAAATACAAATCAACTTGAGCCACTCTCTTGCTTAAAGACCTTCAGTGGTTCCCTATTACCCATAGGCATATGTCTAATCTCCTATCAAGACACTTAGGGCCTTTGTGATCTGGTTCTAACCTTCCTCTATAGCTTGCACTTTTTCTATTCTCTGTGTAGCATCTTTGGCTTCTTTCATTTCCCTGACTGTATTACCCTCCTGTGCCTTTGCAGTTATTACTGTTCTCTCACAATATCCTACTTTCTCCCTTTTGCTGAATACACAGGAATGCACTCAAACATGTCTGAGAAGCTCTCTGGACCACACACACCTCATCAAACCCATGCAGAATTGGGCATTCTTTCCTTTATATTTTTAGGCTTGTAAAAAATCAGATTAGATTAATAGATTATTGGTCCCTTGAGCTCTGGACTATGTTTTATTTTCCTATATCCCCCAAAACTAAAACATGCAGCTATACATTATATAGTTGTTGAATCAATTTATAAATACCATCATATTAGAAAATGCTTATATGGCTGTTAGTCTGTGTCAGGCACAGTTCTAAGCACTGCCCATAGGTTGCCTCATTTAAAGAATGAATGCATACAGCCAGGTGATCCTTTTGGTCAATAAGCACCAAATTGTGGCTTCAGTGTCACAAACATGGGAAAGCTACTTTAGCAGCCACTCTGTCACCAACACACACTCCCATTTTCTTGCCTCCATCTTTTTCTGCTCATGGTGAGGCTTCAGTCTATCTCCATTCTAAAAAGCAACCTGGTATTAGGCAGGAAGTTTCAAGAAGCCCCATCCTTTCTCCTCACGCCTGGTAGCATGAAGTCTCAGTGCTGAACACAAGTTCCAGGCTGTGTTGTCAATAGCCTTGCAGCTAATCTGGCCTAGTGTGAGGTGTCTGAATAGTGATCTGTAGTTAGTATTTATATAATTGTCTATCCCTTTCTCACATCTTGAAATTGTCTGTCCTGGAATGGTCCACTAGTACCATGTTTTCCAAGCTCAGTATTCTCACTTCTTCTCTCCTCACATCAATCAATAGGATGGGACTTCAGACTGAATTCCTATTCCAAGATTTTATTTCAACAACATCTGAGATAATTGGGAATTCTATGCATTCCCCATTGCTTCCTATGCTTTTGCTGGGGAGTTCTCTGATAGCTGTGAGTATAATTATAGTAGCTGATTTTTTGTTAGACTGCTGGACTTTTGAGCATTGTCCTTACTACTCCTTGGAGGTTCCTGGTCTGGATCTTTCCTGAATCTGTGATGGGTTTGTTTGCCTGTATAAATGGAGCTTCCTGTCAGTCCAAACCTTACCTGCATGTACCACGGTAGTTTCAATGTGAGAAAGCACAATATTTTGCCTTTATTTAGCTTATAACATAATCCTTAAAAGCTAAACTTCCTTGATCACATGCTATGTGCCAGACAAAACCTTCACATAAAAGCTGCAGGGTAAGCATCATTATCCCCCTTATACAGATGGAGAAACTATGTTTCTGAAATATTAAATGGTTTTCTAAGGTCACATAGTAAGTAGCGGAACTGAAATTCAAATTAGCACCAATCTGACTCCAGACACCAGGCTCTTTCTCTACAAAATGGAGGAGGAAACATTTGGGACACGCAGAGAAGTATTTCTGGGCCTCTGAAGGAGGCTGAATTCATAGTAAGTTCTCAATCAATACTCTTTACTTTAAAAGTTGACCCAGTATTGCTGCCCAGGCCTTTCTTATTGATTGTGGTTAAAGCAATTGTAAAATCATGAAGTAGAACCAATCAAAAGCTTCCCTGAAATAAATGAACTTGAATGCCTTGTAGTTATGCTACTGTGGGTTGCCAAAAATGACAGAAGATGTGGTTATAAGCACGTTCAAATCCAGCAAAAAGTCTTGCAAATGCTGCAACAATTTTTTTCAAGTAGATGAGAGTACTTGAGTGTGGCAAACTGGTATAAATTCTGTGTAAACCATGGTGTGCAGGGGCTACCCAGATCACAAAAAGCAATTAAGCAATGGGTGGGCCAGAACATTCTTCTGCAAAAGCAGTGGAATGTCAGCAGCATCAGAGGACCAAGTAGACCTTTCTGAAGAGAAACACCATAATCAAAGTGGGAATTGGCCAGAACAATAGCTGCTCCTTGATTGTCTATAGCCTGGATTGGTTAGCAGTGCATACCTGGTACAGGATACAGGATCTGAGTGACTGGACATATGACACAATGATCCATGAGCATCTACATGAACAAGAGTGATCTGAATAGGCACATATAACATCAGAAGATGTTTGTGAAGCATATCTGTGAACATGCGTAAGAACTGAATGATCATGTGTATCATCTGCAAAATGTATATCATCTAAATAAGCTCAAAGATCAAAGTGAATAGTTTAATGTGTATAACATTTGAATGAGCCTTGTTAACAATGCAGTGAACATTTGTATTGTTTTCATGTGCACATGTGCTGTCTAATGAGAATTTGCAATATCTCAGGTATAATATCTGAATAAGCCCATGCCCTATCTGAATAGCAGCATGTGATATTGAAGCTGATTGCCATCTAAGTGAATATGGTTTTAGAAAAGCTGGCCAGGCACAGTGGTTCACTGTAATCCCAGCACTTTGCAAGGCCAGGGTGGAAAAATTGCTTGAGCCCAGGAATTTGAACACAGTTTGGGTAACATAGTGAGACCCCATCTCTACAAAAAAATTTAAAACTTAGCCAGATGTGGTGGCCCACACCTAGAGTCCCATCTACAAGGGAGTCTAAACTGGGAGGGATTGCTTGAGCCCAGGAGATCACAGCTGCAGACATGTGTAACATTTTAGTGAACATGTGTATCACCCACATGAATAAAGATATGATCTGAACAGGCAGGGAGAACATCTGAATGAGGTGTGTAACATCCAAGTCAGAGGATCTCAAACTTGAGCATGGCCAGAATCATCTGCATGATTTGCACCCATTGCTGGGACCTCACCCCCGAGTTTCTGATTCAGCAGATTAAGGGTCAGACTCAAGAATTTGCATTTCTAACAAGTTTCCAGGTGACACTGCACCTGCTGGTCTGGAACCTGCATTTTGAGAACCACTGTCCTAAGTATGTGTGACACCTGCATGTAACATCCAAGTGAGCTGATTAACATCTAAATCAGATCTAAGTGAACATGTTAACATTTAGGTGACATATGTATCACCTGAATAGGTGTTATGCTATCTGTAGGACCACATGTAACATTTGAATGATATGTTTAGAATACAAGTGAACCTGTGTTACATCTTAATACATCTGTGAAACATGAACAAACATATTTAAAATCTGAGGGTATGCAGAATATCTGAGTGAGTGCTAGAAGATTCAACCTCTAAAAGGTATGTATGTGTTTTACACCTGAAAGTATTCATTGTCTGTGTCATAAGACAAACATATACAAATAATTACCATACACCATGGAAAATGCAGCAGTGAGTGTCTAAGGAACAGAGACACACAAGAAACAATGGCCAGATTCAGAATGAAAGCCACCCAGAGGAGGATGAGTAGATGGCAGAGATGACATGTGAGGTCTGTTTCAAAAGCTGATTAGAAATTCTTCAGGATGCCAGGAAGAGGTAGGTGGGGGAGGTGTTTCTGTAAGAAGCTCCCAGCAAAGGCAATAAGCACAAAATATAAAATAGCTTGGCATGTCTAAATAACCTCATGTAATTTTGGATTTGTATAATGAAATAGGAAGTGGGAGTAGAGGGTGACACTAGAGTGTTGATGAGAGCTCAGGTCACAGAAGTCCTCGTGGTCCATAACACCAAACTTGAACACGGTGGTGTTTTTTTTCCCTCTCTCCTGGAGGCACCAATTACTAGTTCTTTGACTCTTGGAAAGTTACTGAATCCCTCTAAGTGTTTAAGAAAATAAAATAAGTCTAATAGATGGATGTGGTGTGTGGGGGCGGGGGAAGGGGGGAGTGTGCTAGTTAGGAAGAATGTGAGTAAAGAGACAAGCCAAGTGAAGTGCTTAGTAAAATGTAACCGAGCTAGCAACAGCAGCAACAAAACCCTGTGAATGCTATTACGATGGAGAAAGTTGGATTCAGTTGTTTCTAATGTCCCTCCCAGCCCAGCACTCTTTGTCTGTGTCTGTTTCCGTTTTCTGATTTCTGACATATCCTGCAAAGTCGGGAGAAAGTAATTGTGATGGAAAAAATCACGGGTCTCCGTTTGCGCCCGGTCGGTGCTGGCCGCGCGTCTGGCGCTCCAAGTTGAGCGGCTCCGTGCAATGAATGATTAACCCGGCGGGGCCGCCCGGCTTCCTGCTCTCGTCCGAGTTTCCGTGTAGAGGGCGCAGCGCCGGGCCGGGGCCCTCGGGGTGGCGTGGCGCAGGGCGCGGCGTGGGGCGCCCGGGTCACCATGAGGACTCTCCGCAGGTTGAAGTTCATGAGTTCTCCCAGCCTCAGTGACCTGGGCAAGAGAGGGCCGGACGAGCGGGCACGCAGCAGCGCCGGGCCAGCGCCAAAGCCACCTGGAATAGCATCCGCGACGGGGTGATCGCTGTCTTCCAGCCCAAGGGGCTGCCGGACCAGGATCTCTTCACCTTCAACGAGGGCGTCCGGCAGCTGCTGAAGACAGAGTTGGGGTCCTTCTTCACGGAGTACCTGCAGAATCAGCTGCTGACAAAAGGCATGGTGATCCTTCGGGACAAGATCGGCTTCTACGAGGAAGCTGCTGGACTCGCTGGCAGAGACCTGGGACTTCTTCTTCAGTTATGTGCTGCCCATGATGCAGGCCATCTTCTACCCGGTGCAGGGCAAGGAGCCGTCAGTGCGCCAGCTGGCCCTGCTGCACTTCCAGAATGCCATCACCCTCAGCATGAAGCTAGAGGATGCACTGGCCTGGGCCCACGCCCGCGTGCCCCCTGCCATCGTGCAGATGCTGCTGGTGCTGCAGGGGGTGCACGAGTCCAGGGGAGTGACTAAGGACTACCTGCGCCTGGAGACGCTGGTCCAGAAGGTGGTATCGCCATACCTGGGCACCTACGGCCTCCACTCCAGCGAGGGGCCCTTCACCCACTCCTGCATCCTGGAAAAGCGCCTGCTGTGCCGCTCCCGCTCAGGGGACGTGCTGGCCAAGAACCCGGTGGTGCGTTCCAAGAGCTACAACACGCCGCTCCTGAACCCCGTGCAGGAGCACGAGGTGGAGGGCACGGCGGCCGGCGGCACCAGCATCAGCAGGCACTCCGTGTCCGAGATGACTTCCTGCCCCGAGCCCCAGGGCTTCTCCGACCTGCCTGGCCAGGGCCCCGCCGGAGCCTACAGGTCCTCCCCGGTGCCCCACTCAGGGCCATGCCCCAGCAGACTGCACCCCACGACCCAGCCCCCCGAGCAGGGCCCGGATCCCACCAGCAGCCCGCTGCCCGGCTCCAGCCCGGAGAACCTGGGCATTAGTAAAGGGCAGTGGGATAGGAGTTGGTTTTATAGGTTTGGGTAGGTTTTTGGGGGGCGGGGGTGTTGCAGAGTAAGATCAGTTACAGTGGTGGAGGGGAGGGGGCCAGGAATATGTATACAAGTTCAGTTACAATGGCAGGGTGGGGTGAGAGGTATTTACATTATCATAAGAACAGGTTAAGATGGCAGGGTTGGGTGAGGGGCTTGTCCTGGGAAGGGATCAGGGACAATTGTCAAGGCAGGCAGGGGATGGGAGACATCAGCCGAGGCAACCAGGACTTCAGACTTTCAGGCTTCAGGCTTACATACAGAGACCTGACCTGACAAAAAATTGTGATTTTTTTCCCTCCGGGCTGAGCAAGGGAGGCTGATGGTATTTCCAACAAAGACAGGAATACAAAGTCACCAAGACCAGGCTGACAGCGCTGGAGGGGCGGAACAGAGTAAAAAAAGTCACACACACACACACACGCCACATGGACACCCCGACACACGGGGCCGTGTCAGTAAAAACTCAAGGCGAGCCGTGACGCCCCACACGACACTTTGCTGGTCCCCAGGCCCCCCCAAGCCGAACATGGCAGACCCCTGGCCCGGCCAAAGTCAATAAAAATCCCTTCCGAATCTGAGTCCACAGACTCCAGAATCTGGTCCAGGTGAATAAACAGCCAAGTTGCTCACACAAAGCCTGTTTGGAAGGTCTCTTCATTAAAAGCCCACGTTTTTTAACACACCTCTCCCTGTCTGTAGGTTACTGTTCGGTAGAAAGTCCCGCCATCTTTCCCCCAGGTTTCTTGCCCCCACCCTCCCCCCAGGCTTCTGGCTGCCCTGAGAAAAGCCCGCCAAGCCTGCTCTGTTCTGCCTAGCAACAACAAGCAGCCAATCATCGCAGCAGGAAAGCCCACCAAGCCTCGGCCTATCCTGAACCGACCCCTAACCCTCTGAGCTACCTCAGCAGTCCGCCCAGAAACGGACAGCCTATCCTAAGCTCCTAGGACACTCCGCCAGCCCTGTATCCACGCCCCGTCCACCCCCCCTATAAAACCCTCCTACCCCAGTTGCGCAGTCGCAGCCAGCCCCCGATCTCCTTCCTTTCCTGGCCTGCCCGCTGGTCCCAATAAACCTGAACTCGGCTTCCAACTCTCGCTCGAGCTGTTACTTGGGATCGGGTACCGGGCAGGGGATCACGTCGGGGTCGCACATTTGGTGCCGAAACCCGGGACGGAGGGTCGCTAGCCCCCCCTAGCGACCCCCTCCCTCCAGCGACCTCCCCAGCCCTCCTCCAATTCGGCCTCAGCACTCCGGACCAGGTAAGTCCTGTTTCTTACCTTCTCCTTCCGTGGTGCGTGTGGCAAAGGCCCTTCCTCTCAGTCCCAATCCACGGATCCCTCGCCAAGCGCCGGCCGGCCTGAGCAGGATCCCCCAACCAGGCTCCAGGAGCCTTGGGTCGGCAGACAAGGGACGCCTTCTCTGACCCACCCAATCCAAAACCATTAAATAGGAACGATCAGACAGGGGACGCCTTCTCTGGTCTTTCCTATCCACCTTCCTCTGGGGAAGCTGGTGGGCTGGAGGGACGCCTCCCCCACACTACCCCAGCCCACTCGGATACTGTTCCGAGCTCGGATACTGTTCCGAGACCGCCCTCGGCTGGCAGGAACCCTTTGCCGCACGCATCATGGGGAACGTGGAGTCAAAAATTCCAAAAAACACCCCACTAGGTTGTTTACTTCTCAATTTTACTCGTTTGGGCTACTCCCAAACCCTTAGGCGAAAAAAGCTTATCTTCCTCTCCCAGGTGGCCTGGCCCCAGTATCAGCTCGATAACAGGTCGCACTGGCCTCCCACCGGCACTTTCGATTTCAATGTGCTCCGCGACCTAGATAACTTCTGCCACCAAACTGGCAAAGATAAGGAAGTGCCTTATGTTCAGGCTTTCTGGGACCTGCGTTCCCACCCTGACCTCTGTTCCACTTGCTCTACTCACCAGGTCCTCCTAGCCCAAACCACCCTACCCCAGACCCCTACCTCCCCGACCAAACCACCTCCATATATCATGCAAGAAGAGATGCCTGACCATTTGTCTTCCCCCTTTGTTCCCACTCCGGAAGTCCCCGACTCACCTAACCCCCCTCCCTCTGTGCCTCCTCCTGCTGTGCCTCCTTCCTCCTCTCCACCTACGCCTTCCGCTACTCCCCCAACCACTCCTCCTCCCATCTGCTCTCCCCCTTCTTCCCCCGTGGCGGCCCATACCCATACCAAGACTTCAGCGCCTCCCTCTGTCATAGCACCCCTACGGGAAGTAGCCGGGGTGGAGGGCCTTGTTCGGGTCCATGTCCCTTTTTCTCTCCAAGACCTAGCTCAAATTGAGCGTCGTCTTGGGTCCTTCTCGGCAGACCCCTCCACTTACATTAAGGAGTTTCAGTATCTCACCCAGGCCTATAGTCTCACTTGGCACGACATCCAAGTCATCTGTACATCGACCCTCTCTGCCAAAGAGCACGAGTGTGTCCTAGCAGCAGCCAGGCATCAAGCAGATAGAGATCATGCCATAAACCCAAACCAAGTCCCAGTAGGTACAGAAGCCATTCCCACCACAGATCCCCAATGGGTATATCAGGATGGAGCTGGCTCCCACATCCCAGCTCGAGACCGCATGCTTCAATACCTGTTGCGCGGGTTAGAAGCTGTATCCAATAAGGTCGTTAACTATGATAAGCTAAGAGAAGTCACACAGAAGCCAGATGAGAACCCTGCCCTTTTTCTCAACTGCCTTCAGGAAGCCCTTGTCCGCTATACCCGACTAGACCCAGCCTCCCAAAATGGGGCTACCATCTTAGCTTCCCACTTCATTTCCCAATCTGCCCCTGACATTCGAAAAAAACTTAAGAAGGCCGAAGAAGGCCCAGAGACTCCCATACAAGACCTGGTTAAGATGGCCTTTAAAGTCTTTAACGACAGGGAAGATGCAGCCGAGGTTGCCCGCCAAGCTCGATTGAAGCAAAAGGTCGCACTGCAGGCCCAAGCCCTAGTGGCAGCCCAGACCCAAGCCCTGGTGGCAGCCCTACGGCCAGCAGGGGCCAGGGGTCCGAACAGCCTCTCCAAGCCCCCACCAGGGGCATGTTTCAATTGTGGCAAAGAAGGGCATTGGGCCTCTAGTTGTCCTCAGCCACGGCCACCTACCAGGCCCTGCCGCCTCTGCCAGCTCAGTGGCCACTGGAAATCAGAGTGCCCCCAGGGATCCAGGACCCCGGCCAACGCAAGCCGGAGTACTGGACCAAGGGGTACCTCTCCGGGAGGGCCAGCCCCTGACCCCTCTACTCGGGAGTCTGGCTCTCCTGACCGCTTATACCCTGAGCTACTGGGGCTTTTGGACGACTAGGGAGGCCCAGGCTCGTCGACCCCAGTAACCCTCGCCGAGCCTAGGGTGTCACTTCAGGTAGCGGGAAAAAGCGTCTCCTTTTTGCTGGATACGGGGGCTACCTACTCTGTGCTTCCCTCCTTCCAAGGCCAGACCATACTCTCCCAGGTCTGTTATGGGAATCGATGGGGCTGCACACACCCCACGCCAAACTCCACCGCTCACCTGTATGTATAACTCAGTCCCATTCAGCCATTCTTTCCTCATTATCCCCTCTTGCCCTGTGCCTCTGTTGGGACGAGACATTCTAACAAAACTCAAAGCCCACATCACTTTCCCTGCCTCTCCCCAACACCTCCTGTTAGTTGCTCACCACCTCAACTCCGACTCAGACTATGCTTCCCCAGGCATTCTCCTCCCCAAAGTACACCCTAAGGTATGGGAGACGGACACACCTGTAGTAGCCACACACCACAAGCCAGTCAAGATTTGCCTCCAGGAACACTCCTCTCGATTTCTTTGCCGACCTCAGTTCCCTATTTCCAGGAAACACCGCCTAGGACTTCGCCCTATCATTGAAAGGCTGAAAAGCCGCAGCCTCCTAGTACCCACCAATTCCCCATCATGTAACACTCCCATCCTCCCAGTCCGGAAACCCTCAGGAGAATACCGCCTTGTCCAAGACCTCCGACTAGTCAATGCTGCAGTAGTCCCTATACATCCTGTAGTCCCAAACCCGTACACCATACTCTCCAGAATTCCCTCCGATACTACCTTCTCAGTCCTTGACCTCAAGGACGCCTTTTTCACCATTCCCTTACACCCAGATTCCCATTTCATCTTCGCTTTCACCTGGGAAGACCCACTTACTGACAACTCTTGTCAGCTCACCTGGACAGTTCTTCCCCAAGGTTTCAGGGATAGCCCTCACCTGTTCGGTCAGGCCCTGGCAACAGACCTTCTAGGCTGCCGCCTAGCCCCATCTATTGTTCTTCAGTATGTTGATGACCTACTCGTCTGTTCCCCCAGCCAGGAAGAGTGCACCCGAGCCACTACTGTCCTGCTCAACTTTTTAGGAGATAAAGGGTATAGAGTTTCAAGAAAGAAGGCCCAACTCGTTACCTCATCAGTCATTTACTTGGGCCTACAGCTTTCCCCGGGAAAGAAATCCATTATCCCCGATCGACTGCAGGCCCTGAAAGCCCTCCAACCCCCTCAGTCTGCCACTGAAATACTCTCCTTTCTAGGGGTAGTGGGATTCTTCTGGCACTGGGTGCCCAACTTTGCCCTTCTGGCCAAGCCACTTTACCAAGCAGCTGCAGATACTCCTGAAGGCCCACTTACTTCACAGGGAACAGTGACTCGAGCCTTCCACACGCTCCTACAAACACTATGTGCTTCCACCTTTCTTGCTCTACCCAATCCCAATCTTCCTTTTCACTTGTATACGGATGAGAAAGCCCACATCGCGGTAGGAGTCCTGGCTCAACCGGTCGGCAACACCCTCCTTCCACTAGCATACCTTTCCAAACAACTCAGCCCCACAGAAAAGGGGTGGCCACCTTGCCTCTGAGCCTTAGCAGCAGCCGCCACACTTACGACAGAAGCCCTTAAGATCAACCTCCGGCAACCACTCACAGTATTCTCCCCTCACAAACTGCAGGAGCTTGTGT